TGATGTTTTTTTGCTCATTGACAACACCTCTACACTTGAGAAACTTGACAAGAAAACGAAAATTTGAAAACACAATAAAATCTTGAGTCTCTATAGTTGAAGCGGCTAAAAATACAATTTTAATTACGAACGTCTCTACTACTAATCTTAATTATCATATTAGTAGTTTTTAGAAATAAGTAATAATAATCAGTGTTGTCCAATTTTCATTGGTTATCAAGCTTTATGACGGCGTGAGTGAGCTTATGAGTAGGCGAAGCGACACAGAGCTTGTAACTGATATTTGGTCTCTTCTTTCTTAATTTTCACTTTTTAATTTCAATTAATTGTCAATAGTCTTTTTAGTGTATTTTTCCTATTTATACAATGAAAAGACAATGAATATAAATAGAATTTATCTATCACTGAAATATTATATATTCTTATATTTTTAACTTATGATTGAGACCACATCATATAAATCGTTTATAATTTAGGACATTCACATTTTCCATTTATAGATTTTGCAGCTTCCCAATGAGAACAAACCTTGGTGGTACACTCAAGGTCTGTGTCACATATTCATAGATGATTCACATTGACTTTATTTGTATCCAATCTTTCCAACTTAAATGGAGAACAGTCGCAAGCTCCATCTTTACAATATGCCAGACCTGAGTCACAATGTTTCTTTCACACTTGGCTTCCGCAAGATCTTGTCCTTCAGATTTATACAATACGTTAGTTCAACATGAATTATCATAGAAACAAAAAATGATATAATAGATTAGTTTCTATCAATTGTTTAAACATTTTTATAAGCTTATTCTCTTCTTAATAATATTTTTCTTATATTAAATATCACATTTCACAAAGGTTAATCACATTTCATATTATAATAGAAAACAATATCTAAAGTTTTAAATATTTTTTATACTCAGAATTCTTTTTTAGAATATTCGTTATGTTCTACTATCATTATGATGAGACGGATCCAAATATCCTAGAATTTTACTTTATTCGAATTCGTGGTTTCTGCATCTCCAGACTTCAGATACATGCCCAATAATGACTAAAATAAAATACTGAAAAAAGAAAGAATATATTCGGGTATCCGGATCCGAAAATAATAATAAACTAAATAAAAAAATAAACACTAAATTTTTTAAAGTTATATAAAACTGAAGGATAATTTTTTTAAAATAAATCTATTATATTAAAAAAACTAAAATTTAAATTATATATATTATATAAACATAACTTCATATGTGTAAAAGATATATCCAAACCTTAACTTTTTACTATCAGACTCTGGATATATTTTTTTGCATATCACAAATTTTACTATTTGAATATGAATTTGAATAATAACGCTCTATTTATTCTAGTTTTAAACGGATTCGAACGAATTTAGCGATCCAAATCAAGGAAGTGCTCGGTATTCTACATGACATCTGAAACTACAGCTCTCACTTCCTCTTCACGGAATTTCGTTATATTCAAAGAACAAAAAATGTATTAGCAGATTCCTTGGCAAAGAATGCTATGAGAAGATACAATGAAAATGATGTAACACCGTGATCGATCTAATGAAAAGTATTTGTTGACCAAAAAAAAAATGAA